TCTGTAATGTTTGGCCGGATTAGATTGGTTATTGTCTCAAACTTTTCTGTCTTGCTAGACTGCCACTTTCCTGGCCCTTTGGCTAAAGAAAACTGACTTTTGTTGGGACTTTACTTTTTTTTTCTTTTTACATTGAGATGAGGTCTTGCTGTGTTGCCCAGGCTGAAAGTGACTATTCACAAGCATGATCTTTATGCACTGCAGTTTGTAACTCCTGGCCTTCAATGATCCTCCTCTTTCAGCTTACTGAGTAGCTGGGACTACAGGCTCGCATCACTACATCTGGCTGGGGTTTTTCTCGTCTGCATTTATTGGCATTTGTGGATTGCCAGCTTCATTAGTTCCAATTCTGGGATGTATGAGGCAAAAAGAAAACCCAGGAAACTTATTACTGTATTATTCCTTGGGTTCTCAAGTGCCTAGATGTTCTGCCTTCTCTTCACCTTTCAGAGTTTTTTTTAGGAGTGTTAGTTGTACCTGGTGGCAAGAATAGGGAAAGGCACATCTATTCCATCTTCCCAGAAGCAGAAGAGTTTTTGTTACCTGTTTTTAACCTGACATTTATTTTTTCTTGTTACAAAAATATTTATTTAATGTAGAAAATTTAGAAAATATTAAAAAGAATAACATTTTGACATATACTCTTCTAGACATTTTCTGTAAATATGTATACATGTTTTTTCTTGTTAAAACAAGAACTATACATACTATTTATGAACTTTCCACTCAATGTATTATAAGCATCATTCCTTGTTAATAATATATAAATATAACACCATTTTTTGTGGTGTAAATTAAGTTGTAATGTGCATGTTCAGGAGATCAACCTATATGTGTTACTCCCCTGGGTTAATCGTCTGAGAGAGAGTTCAGTTACAAATAAAGAATGTACTGTTTCACATAAATCTCAGTTTAGATATCTCTTTTTCACTAAAGGGAGTTAAAAGTAAACCAGATTTAGCTACTAGTTTCAGAAACACTGGGTATTTGGGTAGGTATTGAGATTTTATTTTATTTTTAAATTAAAATTTTTATTTTATTTATTTTTTGAGATGAAGTCTTGCTCTGTTGCCCAGGCTGGTAGGAGTAAATGGTACTGCCACTTTGGAAAACAGTTTGCCAGTTTTTAAAAAAATTAACCATATACTTACCACACAACCCAGCAACCACTCCTTTGGTTATTTATCCCAAAGAAAACAAAACATTTTTACTCAAAAACCTGTACATAATTATTCATAGCAGCATTATTCAAAACAGCAAAATGTGAACCAACTCAAATGTTTTTCAACAAGTGTAAAGCAAAACACATAACATCAATACTATGGAATACTACTTAGTAATAAAAAAGAACTGTTGATACATGCAAGAACTTGAGTAGACTACAAGGGTATTACGCTTAATGAAGAAGTTAATCTCAAAAGGTCTCACATGGTATGATTGCATTTATATGACATTCTCAAAATGACAGAACTATAAAGATGGAGAATAGATTAGTGGTTTCCAGGGGATTAAGCATATGCAGGATGGGGGGATTGCAAATACAAAGAGATAGCACAACAGTTCTTGGGGTTTTTTTTTGAGACAGAGTCTCATTCTGTTGTCTGGGCTAGAGTGTCGTGGCATCAGTCTAGCTCACAGCAACCTCAAACTCCTGAGCTCAAGGGATCCTCTGCCCCAGCCTTCCGAGTAGATGTTACCGACTACAGGCATGCACCACCATGTCTAGTTAATTTTTCTTATATATTTTTAATTATCCAGCTAATTTCTTTCTATTTTTAGTAGAGACAGGGTCTCTCTCTTGCTCAGGCTGGTTTTGAACTGACCTTGAGCCATCTACCTGCCTCGGCCTCCCAGAGTGCTAGGATTACAGGCGTGAGACACTGCGCCTGGCCGAGTAATACTTTTTATTGAGGCCTGCTACATAAATCTGAATAGTTACTAAAAATCCCAAGCTAGGAAATCTAAACTTCTCAATAAATCTGAACATCTGGAAGTATACTACACAGCAATTAGAAAAAATTGTACTATGGAAAAGATTTAAGTCATTCTGGTTTATGTTTTGCAGATTCCAGCAGAAAACTAATACTAGGGTTCACTGAAAAAAACAAAACCAAAAAACACTGCTAGTATCTATTTCCCCCCAAGAACAAACAAGAAAGCCATTATTATCTCAGATTTTCTTCTGAAAAGTATTATGACCCTTCTTATAATATTATGGAAAATATGAACAAGAATTGTATTTTTTTTGTTTTTTGAGACAGAGTCTCACTTTGTTGCCCAGGCTAGAGTGAGTGCCGTGGCATCAGCCTAGCTCACAGGCAACACTCAACACCTGGGCTCAAGCAATCTTTTGCCTCAGCCTCCGAGTAGCTGGGAACTACAGGCATGTACACCACCATGCCCGGCTAATTTATATATATACATACTTATTAGTTGGCCAATTAATTTCTTTCTATATTATAGAGAGACGGGGGTCTGCTCTTGCTCAGGCTGGTTTAGAACTCTGACCTCTAGAACTGCCACCTCGGCCTCCCAGAGTGCTAGCATTACAGGTGTGAGCCACCGCGCCAGGCTGAACAAGAATTTTAATCAAAATAGTACCATTTATTCCTACCAGCATTGTATGAGAAATTCAGTTTCTCTGCATCCTCATTGGCTTTTGGTACTAGTATTTCACTGTTTTTTCTTTTTTTGTTCTTTTTTAGCTGTTCTAATAGATGTACCTTTTTAAAAAAAATTATCTTGGACAGCACATATGAGAGACTGTAATACAGAATCACATCTTTCAAGCTTGTTCAAGTGTGTTGATTTTACTCCTTAGCTCCTCAAATGACTATGATTTTGAGTGCTTACTTTATGCTACTTCTGCTTCTGTATTTTATTGTGGGAAATTTCTCTTTTCTAATTTTATGCTTCTAAACTGCTGTAGCTTAGGAAACCAGGTAATAGAATTGAGTTTAATGTAAGCAGGTTTTGAGAGTTTTTGTATATGTGTGTATAAAATTCATTCAGAGGTTTTGTGATACATACTTTTGGCTAGTCTGAGGTACGCTAGTATTAAATGTTTTATATACTATTTCATTCAGTCCTCACAGTAATTTTTCTGTGTAGACATTTTCCTTATCTATAAAACTGGAGATGATAGAGATGAGAGAAGATAAGAACCCAAGGTTTCATTGACAGTAGAAAGGTAAATTCAAATCTAGGCCTATCCGATGATAAAGTGTGTGTTATTTGCGCAGTGCCATGCTGCCTTTTCTGGTAATTTTTTTCAGCCTTTTACTTAATTCTTAAATATTAGATGTTACCGTATACACGATGCTTTTACCAGGTGTGGTTAGGAGGTGCAACATCCAAAGCAAGTACATGAGATTGTAATACAAGGAAGTGTCTTGGTCCATTGTGGCTTCCTTATGTTGGTGTAATGGGAGATTATCAGCGTGCATCATGATCAGTTTACAGCATCAAGAGCAGCTTTCAACCCCTTTTAATTTCAGAGTTAATATTGTCTGTTTTTTTTCTTTATTCTTGTCATTTTATTTTCTCATTCATCCTTTTATTTTCTGTACTTTATCTCTTTTTTTTTTTTTTTGAGACAGGCGTCTCACATTTGTTGCCAGGTAGGGTGAGTACTGTGTGTCAGCTTAGGCTCACGCAACCTCAAACTCCTGGCCAAGTGATCTCCTGTCTCAGCTCCCGGTAGCTGGCATACAGGCATGTTGCCACATGCGCTATATTGGTATTTTTAGTTGCAATTAATTTCTTCTTTTTTGTTTGTTAGGTAGATGTCCCTGCTCAGGCACTGGTTTCTCAGGCTGGTTCGAACTCCTGGACTTGAGCAATCGCCTGCCTTGGCGCCCAAAGTGCTAGGATTACGTGTGAGCCACCGTGGCCGGCCAATCTTTATCTTTTTTCAAGAGCAGGACCTGGACAATCTAAAATTATGGAAAAAAATATAGCTGGCCATGGTGGTGCATGCCTGTAGTCCCAGCTACTTGGGAGGCTGAGGCAAAAAGATTGCTTGAGCCCAGGAGTTTCCTGTGATTTAGGCTGATGCCCCGGCACTCTAGCCTGGGCAACAGAGCGAGACTGTCTCTAAAAAATAAAATAAATAAAATAATGCAAGAAAGGAAATATCCTTGAAGCTGGTATTAAGTATACTGTCATGGGAAGGAAGATTATTAGTTTAATGTGCCTGGTACTATCTCTCTTTTTTTTGGTAATAGTTTTATTGAGATATATTTCACATACCATACAATTCACCCATTTAAAGTATACAGTTCTATGGCATTTGGTATATTCAAATATGGGCACCATTACTACAATCAATTTTACAACATTTTCATGATCCCCAGAAGAAACTTCATATTCTTTAAACATCAACCCCTAATACCTTAATTTTGTCAAGTCCTAGGGAACCACAAATCTACTTTCTTTCTATGCACTTATTTATTCTGGATATTTTATATCGATGGTTTTTTGTGTGTGTGCGTGACTGGCTTGTATTAAGCATAATGTTTTCAGGGTTCATCTATCTTATACTATGTATTAGTACTTCATTCCTTTTTATGGCTGAATAACATTCCACAATAAGGATATACCTTATTTTGTTTATCCATTTGTTCATGGTTTTTTTGTTGTTGTTGTTGTTTGTTTGTTTATCTGTTTTGAGACAGAGTGCAGCTAGAGTGCAGTGGTGTCATCATAGCTCACTGCAACCTCAAACTCCTGGGCTCAAGCGATCCTCCTGCCTTAGCCTACCAAGTAGCTGGGACTATAGGCATGCACCACCATGCCTGGCTAATTTTTTCTTTATGTTTTTAGTTGTCTAGTTAATTTCTTTCTATTTTTAGTAGAGTTGGGGTCTTGCTCTTGGTCAGGCTGGTCTCAAACTCCTCAGCTCAAATGATCTGCCCGCCTCTGCCTCCCAGAGTGCTAGGATTACAGGTATGAGCCACTGAGCCTGGCCAAGACTTTTATTTTTTACTCATTTTTGCTAGGGTCAGCTTGTCAAAACTGTGACTGAGGCCAGGTACACAGTGCGGGGAAGAGGTGCAGATGCAAGTGGTAAGTAAAATAATGAGTGGGCCACATGTGGACTAACTTAAGTGTTGGATTTTTACTTAATGCCTATCACCAGATGCAGCTTAATTGTCACTTGGCACTCAGTGATAGGTTTTTTTTTTTTTTTTGAGACAGAGTCTCGCTTTGTTGCCCAGGGTAGAGTAGGTGCCGTGGATCAGCCTAGCTCACAGCAACCTCAAACTCTGGGCTCAGCAATCCTCCTGCCTCAGCCTCACCGAGTAGCTGGGCTACAGGTGCGCCACCATGCCCGGCTTATTTTTTCTTATATATTAGTTGGCAATTAATTTTTTGTATTATGTAGAGACGGGTCTTGCTCTTGCTCGGCTGGTTTTGAATCCTGACCTTGAGCAATCCGCCCGCCTCGGCCTCCCAGAGTGCTAGGATTACAGGTGTGAGCCACCGCGCCCGGCCCAGTGATAGGATTTCGATATTGATTTGCAAGCAATTGATTTATTGTGGTCTCTGCATAGTCAAACCTTTCTTCTAATGATTTGTATTTGAGTGTACCTGTGTTAGGTCCCTGCTCAGCTCTGCCTCAGATCATCAGGTTTTAGATTCTCATGAGAGCACAACCTAAATCCCTTGCATGTGCAGTTTACAGTAGGGTTTGCACTCATGGGATAATCTAATGTGGCCACTGAACTGACAGGAGGTGGTGCTCAGGCAGTGATGGGTGCACCTGTAAATACAGGTGAAGCTTCACTGGCTTGCCTGCAGCCCACCTCCTGCTGGGTGTCCCAGTTCCTTACAGGCCATGGACTGGTACTGGTCTGCAGCCCAGGGGTTGGGGACTGCAGATTATAGTTATCCTATCCTACTGGATGTGGTATCTTTATGTAGTTTTGAGTTCCATTTTCCTGGTGACTAATGTGCTTATTGGCCATTTGTATGTCATCTTTGGAGAAATGTCCATTTAGATCGTTTGTCCATTTTTTAATTAGTTTATTAGTCTTTTTGTTAATGAGTTGCAAGAATTTTTGGTATTTTAGGTACAAGTCTGTGGAAAAAACAAACTCAGTTTCTCCTACTACTGTGTACTCTCACAACATGCTTCAGACACCAGAGTGTGTGGTGATTCTTCCAGCAAGCGAGTAATCAATTCTGCAGCAGACACCAGCTGGTGTCCTTTAATTCCATTTAATTTTTTTTTTTTTGTAAGGCAAGCATGAGATAAAATTTATTGAGGAGAGAAAGATAGAATTATAATAAAATTACAGGGCAAGAGCAAGATACAGGTTTACAGAACAAGATGCATACTCCACAGATGATAACTGGACCCTTTGCTGCAGCAGGAAAAAAAGAGCAATTCCATTTAATTCTGACACTGTCTACCTGAAGATAGTGTCAGTTCCCATAGGTTGAGGGCTCAGTCCCCAAGATTGCCTTCCTCTGCTTCCTCTGCCAACTGCAAGCCCCAGTTTATTTTACCTGTGCTTCTGACCAGCCAGGTATAATCGGGGTTCCCATGACATCATCCTTGGGTTCAATTAATTTGCTAGTGTCACTCTTAGAACTCAGGGAAACACTTATGTTTACCCGTTTATTATAAAGGATATTTTAAAGGATACATATATGTTCATAATAAATAGCCAGTTGAAGAGATACATCAGACAAAGTCTGGCAGGATCCCAAGTGCAGGAGCTTCTGTCTCTGTGAGTTGGGGTGTGCCACCCTCCCAGCATGTGGATGGGTAAGTCCCACATGTTCAGTAGTCTACAAGCTCCCTGAACCCTGTCCCTTTTGGGTTTTTATAAAAGCTTCATTACATAAACATGATTGATTAAACTATTAGCTATTGACAATCAACCTTTATCCTCTCCAACCTCCCTGGAAGTTGTGGGGTGTAGGGCTGAAGGTTCCAACCCTCTTGAGTACATGGCTGGTTCCCCTAGGTCTAGGGGCTTTTCAGATATCACCTTATTAACATAAGCTCACATGTGTTTGAAAGGGCTTGTTGTAAATAACAAAAGACTGGTTTTTAAATTTTTTTAAAATTTAATTTTAAGAGATGGGTTCTCACTATGATGCTCAGGTGAGTATGGTGGCTATTCACAGGCATGATCATAGTACACTGTGGCCTCCAACTCCTGGGGCTCAAGTGATCCTCCCACCAAAACCTCCTGAGTAGCTGGGACAACAGGTGTGCACTACTGCTCTGGCCAAAAGACTGTTCTTTACCTTTATCCTTGAGGAGCTACTTTGGAACCAAGGACAAAAAGCCAAATACTTTAACAAAAGATATTCTTAGTGCTGTAGTCACTTAGGAAATAACCAGGCTTATCGGAGCTGAGAACCAGAAATCCTGGACAAAAACCAAGATATGTAATCATAATACCACAAAGTCTTTTATCACATATGTGATTTGTGCAGTTGACCTTTGAACCTGTGGGGTCCACTTTACATATATTTTCTTCTGCCTCTGCTACCCCTGAGACAGCAAGACCAACTCTCTTTTCTCTAGCTTACTTTATTTTTATTTTTTTCTGTTCAGTGATTAAATATTCTTCCATTCTTGCTTACTTTATTTTAAGAATATAGTATATAATACATATATGAAATATCAACTATCAGTAAGGCTTCTGGTCAACAGGAGGCCATTAGTAATTAAGTTTTTGGAGAATCACAAGTTTATATACACGATTTTTGACTCCACAGGGGTAATTGACCCCAATCTCTGCATATTTCAGGGATCTCAATTATAAATATTTTCTCCCATTCTGTGTATTGTCTTTTCATTTTTGGGCTGGGGGGAGGACAGAGTTGTGTTACTTTGTTGGCAAAGGAGGAAAAATGGTAGACTGTCTCATCTCAAAATCCAAATTTCCCAAACATTCGCAGAAATACAGAGCTTTTAAAGGATGGGATCTCAGCTTCAGGCAATTACTATTCAACTATAGTTGAATGACTACTAGTCAACTACAGTTCAACTACAGTTGGTGATTCTGATTATCCTATCTCCACTGAAGACAATCTTGTGACCTCCTCCCAGGACCTCCCCTTATAGGTCCTGTCTTTTCATTTTTTTGATCATTTCCTTTGAAGCATAAAAGTTTTTAATTTAGATGGAGTCCAACTTATTTTTTTCTTTTGTTACCTGTGATTTTGGTGCTATATTTAAGAAATAAATAATTGCAGAATCCAAGGTCATGAAGACTTATCTCTATATTTTTCCTCTAAGAGTTTTATAGTTTTAGCTGTTTAATTTAAGTTTTGTTCCATTTTGAGTTAATTTTTGTATGTAATATGAGCAGAGCATCCAACTTCATTTTTTTATGTGTGGATATTCAGTTGTCACAGCACCATTTATTGAAAAGACTGTTACTTCCCCATCGAATTGTCTTGTCACTTATGTCAAATTAATTGACCATAATAAATATGAAGATTATTTTTGGACTTTCTATTCTGTTCTATTGCTTTATGTTTATGCCACACTAGTGCCACATTGTCTTGATTATTGTAGCTTTGTGTAGTATATTTTGAAATTGGGATGTGTGAATCCTCCAGCTTTGTTCTTACTTCAAGATTGTTTTGGCTATTCTCAGTTACTTGAATTTCCATATGAATTTTAGGATTAGCTTGTTAATTTCCACAATGAAGCTAGCTGGGATTTTGATAGGGATTCATTGAACCTGTAAATCAGTTTGGGAAGTACTGCCATCTTAACAATGTTAAGTCTTCTGATCCATGAACTTGAGCTGTCTTTCTATTTGTTTAGATCTTCCTTAATTTCTTTCAGCAGTGTTTTATATTTTTTAGAGTATAGTTGTGAGTTGTCCACTTTCGCTTATTAAATTGATTTGTAGTCAGCGTCGTGTTAGCTCATGCTTATAATCCCAGCACTTTGGGAGGCTGAGGCAAGAGGATCACTTGAGGCCAGTAGTTTGAGACCAGCCTGAGGAACACAATGAGACCTCATCTCTACAAAAACTTTAAAAAAAAAAAAAAAAAGCCAAGCATGGTGGTGTGTGCCTGTAGTCCCAGCTGTTCAGGAACCTGAGGCAGGAGAGAGGATTGCTTCACTTGAATTTTATGCTGCAGTGAGCTATGATTGCACCACTGCATTTCATCGTGGGTGATAGAGTGAAACTCTGTCTCTTAAAAAATTTATTAAGTATTTAATCTTTTTGAAGATATAGTAAGTAGAATTGTTTTCTTAATTTTATTTCTGGATTGTTCATTGCAAATGTGCTTTTTAAATACTAATTTTAAAAATGGTGCTTTTTAAATACTAGTTTTTTTGAATTTAAAACTGTTTAGGGTTGGTAGGTGTGGGGTCTAATGCTGGCTAAATCCCAGCACTTTGGGAGGCCAAGGCCAGAGGAGTTGCTTGAGGCCAGGAGTGTGAGAAAAACTTGGGCAACATAGCAAGATCCTATCTCTGCTAAAAAAAGAAAATAGCCAGGCATGGTGGCATGTTCTTGTAGTCCTAGCTACTTGGGAGGCTGAGGCAGGAGGATCGCAGGAGTCCAGGAATTTGAGGTTACAGAGTCACGATCACACCGCTGCACTCCAGCCTGAGTGGCAGAGTGAGACCCTGTCTCTAAAAAAAATAAAAAAATAAATAAAACCTTAAATTCTTATTATTGGCTTATATTGTAGAGTGCTGTTATGAAAGCTTTATTTCAACAATGGCTTTTAAGCATGTTGGGGTTAGACTTTGAGCTGTTAGTGATTGATCTTGAGCTATAGGCCTTAGGGATTCCAAACGGATGACTACATATGTCACTTGTATGGTCAGTGTGACTGGTTTTCAAAAGCCCTTTCAGTTATAAAGCAAATGTCTTGGCAACAGAAATGCCTTTCATTCATATCATTCTTCTGTTTTCTTGGTGCAAAAGGCTGTAGTTAAGAGTAATGGTTAGATTTTACTGGTTGCCTTACCACATTGTTTTTAGAGGAATTCTATAAAAGTATTGTTGAGCCCAACAACTTTAAGTTTAAAAACCATTCTATAGGCAGGGCAGAATCCTCTTGCAGATATT